TAAATCTTGGCGTCACACAATGTCTATTGAATAGAATAACAAGGGCGCCACACAATGTCTATTGAACAGTATAATAATGGCGTCACACTGTGTCTATTGAACAGTATAATAATGGTGTCATACAATGTCTATTGAACAGTATAATAATGGTGTCACACAATGTCTATTGAACAGTATAATAATGGCGTCACACAATGTCTATTGAACAGTGTAATAATGGCGTCACACTGTGTCTATTGAACAGTATAATAATGGTGTCATACAATGTCTATTGAACAGTATAATAATGGCGTCACACAATGTCTATTGAACAGTATAATAATGGCGTCACACAGTGTCTATTGAACAGTATAATAATGGCGTCACACAATGTCTATTGAACAGTATAATAATGGCGTCACACGGTGTCTATTGAACAGTATAATAATGGCGTCACACAGTGTCTATTGAACAGTATAATAATGGCGTCACACAATGTCTATTGAACAGTATAATAATGGCGTCACACAATGTCTATTGAACAGTATAATAATGGCGTCACACGGTGTCTATTGAACAGTATAATAATGGCGTCACACAATGTCTATTGAACAGTATAATAATGGCGTCACACAATGTCTATTGAACAGTATAATAATGGTGTCACACAATGTCTATTGAACAGTATAATAATGGCGTCACACAATGTCTATTGAACAGTATAATAATAGCATCACACAGTGTCTATTGAACAGTATAATAATGGCGTCACACAATGTCTATTGAACAGTATAATAATGGCGTCACACAATGTCTATTGAACAGTATAATAATGGCGTTATGATATTATTAATGATGAGGTTCGGTCAGCAATTGTCGAAACCTATATTATAACACCGTCTGTTGAAGCCTCTTATTAGTTGTAATAGCTAGCGTTCTCTTCAATTGGGAATAGTATAAGACAACGTTGGTCATAGACTGACATTGAGAAGATGTATATAAGGAATACCAAGTTCTTGTTGTGGTGTTGATATACGAAATGATTATTGGTTATTTCACCTTTTAACATCACTGTTTATTGGTATATAGGATATTCACTCATCAATGAATCGATGTCAAGTACTCGTTCAAGACTACAAGAAAACTACAAACGAAAGACTGGCGCATAAAGACGTTGCTGTTTGTTTGAAGGCTTGGTAGTTTGTCAACTGACAGAAGTACAAAATTTGAATGCCCACCATTTTGATTTTGAACAACCATCTGTGAAAATGGGCGTAGTTTAAGGTCTTGGTGTAGTTGGTGTTAGTTTCCAAGTGTTGTTCAGGTATGTTTTGGATATAAATTCAGCCATAGGCATATGAACAGAAAACTTTTAAGGAAAGTAAACCTGCCTTCAGTTTAGTTAAAACCAAAACATGAAAACTATCAATTGAAATTTATTTGAAGAGAAACAGATCTCTGGACTGAATAAATATAGCTGAAAGGAACCTTATCATAATAAAG